ACTTGCCAAACCTTGGGGATCGTTCCAGAATTTATAGAATTTTTGAAGATAATCACCAGTGCATCAACTATCTTTAACACTCTGGGATGTAGACCACCTGATCCCTGAGGAGTTTTAATTTCCAGCTCTGTTAACTTCTCCATTACAACATTCTTACCAATACTAATTTCCTTCAACTCCTTATTCTCTGTAGTGACTTGGATCTCTACTTTTGGGAGATTTCTTGCATCTTCCTCAGTGAAAACAGATTCAAAGTAATAATTTAGCTTCTCGGCTGTTTCTCTGTTACCCATTATAAATTGTGCTGTAATGGACCCACATTCTGTTTAGCTAAGCATTTCCTTGTTGCATACTTACAGAAGCTTTTACAGTCCATTATTGTGTGTTTGCTAGATTGTATTCCTATTCTATTCTTCCTTTCCTTATCAGTTTCCTTGTCCTTGTTTGCTGTATTCTAGAATTTCCCAATCCTCCGATGTACTACCATTTCTAGTAATTTTAATGTTATAAGCACTTGAATTACCTTTAATTGCCCTGGTTGACTGATTTTTCACAAGTCTTTACACCTTGAAGAAATGTATAATTACTATAAGTCATGTAATAGTTTTTTAAAGACTCTCCATTGCCTAATTACAGTCATGCCTTTTAATGTGTTTTCCCAAACCGCCTCAAGCCTTCAAAATTTCCTTATTCAAATTGAATCTCCTTATTTAGGATTGAACTTTCTCACTTTCGCAACACGACAAGCAAATCTCCATCTAAAGATATTAGTCCCAACCTTGTGAAGATGTCACAGCTTGTAAAGTCTTCTCTGCACCAGAACTGGTCCCAGTTCCTCAAACTCTGATGCCCTTGTTCCACACCAAGTTCTTACGCTCACTAGCATGCAGCACTGGGAATAATCTTGCAGTTAGTGCTTTTGAGATCCTCCTTTTTAATAACCTTCATAACTGACTGAAATCTGCCTTCAGGACCTCGTCCATCTTCCTACCTGTGTCATTGCAACCATTGTGGACCACACCTTTTGCCTGATCTGCGTCAGTGTGTTATGCCCTTGACCCTGGCACCAGGGAGACAAGCCGCCTCGATCCTTGAGTCATGTTTAATGTATGAACCTGTGACCACAAAATCCCCTACGACTCTTGCTCTTCCATTCTTCTCCCTTCTCCCCAATTACATCTGAGACAAACATGGTGCCGTGAGTTCGGCCCTGGCCCTAAGGAATCTTTGCTCTCACCAGTTTCCAAAATGGATTGCTGATCAGCAAGCAAAATAAATTCAGGGAGACTCCAGCACTACCTATCTGTTTTCTTCAACTACCTGCTAGTCACCCATTTATTCTGTATTGATGTGTTTCTAAGTTGTGATCTGACTACCTCATTATAATGTGTTATTTATGTAGCCCTCTACCTCAAGGATATACAACAGAGACTCCAGATGTTGCAAAATGCAGAGCTGAAGCTTGTGTAGTCAGTGATGCTTGGCTGTAAAGGGCTGTGTTTGTCTGGGATACATGATATATCAATGATTTCACACATATCACAAGATGTGCGCTCGGCCATTCTTATCTACCATCCTGTAACTCTCGAAATGAAGGATGCCTAGAAATGCCACTTCAACACCCCCACCTTGTTCCTTGGCCAGCATCTCTGTCTCAGGCTTACTGCAGTGCTCAGTGCAAGCTGGAAGAACATCACGTCGTTTTCTGCTTGCGACCTGTACAGCCTTCTCAATTCAATATCGAGTCAACACTTTTAGGGCTTGAGGCACGCTCTCCCATGTCCATACCCCAACCCCCACTCACCAGGCCTTGTTATCACATGGCCTGCTATTACACACAACCCATTGTTAGTCACTAACCATCCCCAATAGCAGCCTTTCTTTCTCCTAGGCTGACTGTTATCCATTCCTTTGTCTATCCAACTGTGTTTCTCTCCACTTATTGTTTACCCTTTATCTCCTCCCCCCACCCTGTCTTCTGCATAAAAAAACACTTTACCCAAACTATCATCAGTTCTAAGGAAGGGTCATTGGACTCAAAATGTTAACTCTGATTTCTTCCCATAGATATTGCTGGAACTGCTGAGCTTTTCCAGCAATTTCTATTTTTGTTTCTAGAAACGATGTGTTATCCTCAGAATTGAAGTAAACCTGCCATGAAAACTTGATAATTATTTCTCATTAAAAAAAAGAGAGAGAAAAATGACTAGAGACTTGAACACAAAGAAAGTACCCAGCTTTCTCTTTAAAGATTAGAAATGCTAACCAATTCTACTCACCAACAGGCTGCTTTCCTCTCCTACTAACTTCTTGCTCTGGAGAGTTTGTTTATAGCAATAAACTTTAATTAAAGCACCTCTTTCCCCTTCTGCCCAAATTTTCCAATTTGATACAAATTCCCAGATGCTCATTCCGTCTCTGTCAGGCAAAGTCTTGCTGGTTCCAATTATGCAGCTTATGGTGGCTGATTGTTAACTATATATTATACATCATGGCAAATACAACCAAAATAGTTCTTATGAATTGATTTGGCAGTGCATCCAGCGTATATATTATCAATCTTGGTCACAAAGCCCTTCAAAATCCCTCCTTCATGAATAATTCTAGCACCTCCTTTTCTAGGATTTAGCTTGCTCTATAGGTGAGAGCAGCGCACAACCCACCCAAGTCCTACTGCAGTAATCTTTACTAAATGGTTTGCAGAACCCTTATTGACTCTGGACAAAGATCCATGAATGTTAGTTCCAAGTAACACAAACAGCTGCAGCACGAACCTTCCCTAGCCCCACCCCTCCTCTCTCTTTATTTCCTAACTCCCTTCCGCCTCCCCATTTCTGAAGAAGGGTCCCGACCCGAAACGATAACTTTCCTGTTACTCTACTGCCTGGCCTGCTGTGTTCCTCCATCTCCATACTGGGTGGTCTCTGCAGCACATGTATACTGTCCTACCCCAGCTCCAGCATCTACCTTCTTCCACTTGCTTATACTGCACCACTAAGATCACCATCTGATCTCAGATGGCCTTTTTATGTGTCCTGTCTTATGGGTTCCACCTGTTTTGGTCTCGTGATGTTTTAGTTTCCAATATCCGTTTCAGTCTTAGTTTCCTTTGAAATTAGAAATGTCAGCTTTCTTTCTTAATTGCTCTGGTAATTTTGCTGTGTCTTAAAAATGACAAGCCGTCTTGATGAGGTCTCTCTCGTGCTCATCAATTTCATTGTTCTGCAGACCAGTGAGCAATGTTGATGGGGACCTTATTAATGTTGACATTCTAAGAATATCAGAAAGCTGTAGTCAGTCTGACTATCTTGACAAGCTTCAGACTGGAACAACACCTGCCAGGCCTAGTACAAGAGATCTGAAAACTTCTCCATTCAAAAACCACTTCATATTCTGCTTGACCGATTCTTCTCTGGGTAATATATTGCCCCTTGATCTAAAGGATGATTCATCCAACCTTTAGATTTGTTGGCCTATGAGTTGAAAATTTACTGTCAGCTCTTAAAACAGTATGTGGTCAACACATACGATGACCAATTCAACAAGATACTGCCATTGTACTAATTGTCTGCAATATCAGCCAGTTATAATTTCGTCATCAATACAATAATAAAAGCTCTACTTTTATATATAGATTGAAAATGACTCCCTCTCTAATTTTGGTTGAACTGCATTACATTGAATTTGTTTGCTTCCCTAGGTGATTATCATGCTCTGGTTTTCTTAATTTCACATAAAATACGTCCACAATAAACCCTAGTGATTCCCATTTCATTTTTGCAACTGTGTGCTTCAGTGTTTTTAGATTTTGAACAGATTAGCTGTAGCTCTGGCTTCACTTCAGCACTTCTGAAAACAGGCATCGAAGGATTTGAAAGATGATTCCAGAAGGGTAGCTGTAGAATTGATGGGAAGAGTGCAGCATTGAAGCACATTATCAAGCCAAGCTTGAGTCATTCAGGCTGCCAATTATTCATAATTTCCTGTTATGGATACAGCAGAATTTGTTCTTTCTGTTCATTTGCTGTTCCCCCCGCTGTTTAAACCATTTCTTGTTTTCCTGAAACATTCATAACTTGATTAATGACCTGAGGTTTAATTTACATATGTGATGAAACATGAAATGAAATTTATTTTCTGGTGATTGACAGAACTGTACACTTATGAACAATTTTGAAGGGAAGACATGTACTACCACTGGATGAGTAATCCAGAGGCTTGGCCTAATGTTCTTGATGATAATTTGATTTGATTCATTATTGTCACATGTACCTTAAGTACAGTGAAAAGTTTCATTTTGCACGTACTACAGGCAGATCATAATTTCCAAGAATGTACAGATCATAGGGTGATTGAACAGAGCAAGACATACAAAGTTACAGCTGCACAGGGGGTACACAAAAGCAAGATCAACATTTGAATTTGAAATTTGTGAGGTCCATTCAGCAGTTTAATAACACATGGGAAGAAGCTGTTGTTGAACCTACTGGTGCGTATGTTTAAGGTTTTGTATCTTCTGCCTGATGGGAAGGATTGGAAGATATTATAACTGGGGTGGTCTTTGATGATATGGGTTCAAATCCTACCAAGGCAGCTTGTGGAATTTAAATTCAGTTAATGAATCTGGAATTGATGTCAATAAGAATTGTTGTGAACCTATCTGGTTCTTAAATGTTCTTTAATGAAGGGAGTCTGCCAACCTTTCCTGCAAAACCACAAGTGACTTCAAACCTACAGCAACATACTCCAGCCTTAACTGCTGTGTGAAATTACCTATAGAGATGCTCCATTCAAAGGGAATTAGAGATGGGGAGCAAATGCTGGCATTTATCTGCATCACCCTTACTCCATGAAAGAATAAGGAAGAATTAACCTCCAAGGCATTCCTCTTAAAGGCAGGAAAGTTGGTGTGAGTATTTCACCGAGCCCATGAGCATTGGAGTTGGTGTCCATTATTAATTTGTAAATTTTCACCTTGATTGCTACCTTTTTTATTGAAGGGTCACCCAACTCCTTGAGCGAATCAATGAGGTTGTGGAAGAGAGCAATCTGTTCGATCCTGATCGTCGCGGTCTTGAAGAAGAGCTGGAGTCTCTACGACGTCATCTGGAATCGATGAATAATGATCCGAGCTCAGTGGAGAACCACTTTAACAGCAGTAAAGGTAAAACAAAAAGCACTTGTCTAATAGAGATGATCTCTTAGATGTATAATGTGAGAGCTGTAGGAGGGGAGAGGAGGCACACAATGGTGCAAAGTCAGATTTTTTTTCTTTATTCATTCACGGGATGAGGGCAGCGCTGGTGAGGCAGCATTTATTGCCCATCCCTAATTGCCCAGAGGGCAGTTCAGAGTCAACCACGTTGCTGTGGGTTCTGGAGTTGCATGTAGGCCAGACCAGGTAAGGATGGCAGTTTCCTTCCCTAAAGGACATTGGTGAACCAGATGGGTTTTTCCCGACAATTGGCAATGGATTCATGGTCATCATTAGATTCTTAATTCCAGATATTAATTGAATTCAAATTCCACCATCTGCTGTGGCGGGATTCGAACCTGGGTCTCCAGAGTGTTATCTGGTTCTCTGGATTAACAGTCCAACGATAATACCACAAGGCCGTTGCCTCCCCAAGATGCTTCAAGTATTTGTGAGATTTCATTGATTTATGACTCTTAGAGAAAAGCACGAAAGAAATGTGCTCACAAAATGCAATATAAAATAGTCAAGCACCTCTCAAACAAATCATCATTTTTGACCTTGCATCCATTTTGTCACAAGTCTTATGTTCCCTCCATTGCACCTTTGAATGAGGATACTGTATATACCCATGTGAAAGTTGACTTTTTGAGAGCAAATGTCTTTAGACAAAAGGTAGGGTTTTTTTTTAATTTGAGCAGTGCACTGGGGAGTTGAAATCCAAGGGTCTTTTGGTTTACTCATAATGACTTTGGTTGCTGGCCATGGTCCTGAACCCAGTAGGAACGGCTTTCCCAAGCTATCCACTGGCATTTCCAATGTTTAAATGAGTGCAATATCTTGTTCCCAAAACTAGTGCCAGGTAATGGGAAAATGAAGGATTTTGATGCCAAAAGTCAGGGATTGATTTAAACACACGATATCTGTGGGAATGTGCAGATCCACTGAGTAAAGGTTATGTTGATGTTATGTAAAACTAAGCCAATGTATAACTGTTTCCTTGTATGAACCTGTGATTGGCTGATATTACAATATCACTTAACACTGACACAAGGGCTGGAATGTCTTTAAGAAGGGCAGACTTTTTTTCTAAGCTCTACTGTTACGTATTTCATCAATTACTTCCTTCCAAACCAAGGCTTTACTTTGTGTGAAAACTGAAAGAACTGCATGTGCTGTAAATCAGGAACAAAAACAGAAACTGCTGGAAAAGCTCAGCAGGTCTGGCAGCATCTGTGAAGAAAAATCAGAGTTAATGTTTCGGGTCCGGTGAGGTTGTGAAAGAGAGCAATCTGTTCGATCCTGATTGACGAGGTCTTGAGGAATGTTCTGAGGAAGGGTCACCGGACCCGAAACGTTAACTCTGAATTTTTCTTCACAGATGCTGCCAGACCTGCTGAACTTTTCCAACAACTTCTGTTTTTTGTTCTTTTCTTTGTGTGAACGTTTAATATTCAGGATAAAACCTCTCCATGTTGATCAGCACATCGGACGTCTCAGTCATGTGCAGTCTGGCTTCTTGCTTCTAAATGACTAGTTTGAGGGGTTTGGTGTTAGTGTTAGAGTCTGACCAGACCAACAAACCTGTCCATTAAAGATAACACGCTGATGTGTACCAAAACCCTAAATGGGCAGGCAAGTGTTGGGGTGGGGTCTGAACTCAAAAGGCCATTCTTTTGATGTTCTTATCCTGTGCAAGCCTTTGTGATAAGCTTATTCTTGCCTGGTTTTGTGGAAAGGTCAGTGGGCTGATAGTGCATGAGCTGCTGTGTGTTGTATCTCTTTTGATGTTTTTAATGATAGCCAGTAGCATTCTGACCCCAGTAGAACTACATTGACATCTGTAATGAAATGATAGACATTGATAATACCTGGCTCCCAATCTTGTGTGTGACAGTCCTCTGGAGTGAGTCTCACAATGTTAACTCTCACTCATAGGTGCGTGAAGCATTGAGTAGATAGTGATACCTACCCTGCCAGATTGCAGCTGGTTGTTCACTCTCTTAGGGCACTGGAGAAGGTTCTCTTGATCCACCCCTAGGGTGCTGCCATAGAGTCACCTATGAGCATTGACTTACACAGCAACATCTGTCCAGGCTGTCTTTGTCAGATAGAATGGCCTCTTATTTGCATCCTCTCAAAAGGAACTTCCCTTCTCCCCTGGACAGCCTTCAAGGGGATCCTCAAAGGAGGTGTCGCTAAATCATGGCACTGCACTTTGCTGGGTCTCTGACATCTTCAAGGGCGGGTGGGTAATGAGCAGAGGTTACAGAGTGCCACTCAGTCACAGACAGCAATGTGCTGTGTCCAGGTGCCTTTTCAATATGGTGCTCAGATGTTGGAGCCTGGAAGGTCCTAATGAGTCTCTGAACCTCCTACCCAATTCATTTTATCCAGGCAAGAAAATGTAATAAACTGAGAATAACATGATCATGGGAAACCCCAACTTGCCATCGAGTGGAAGTCCCTCCTGCTTTTATACCCAGCTCTATACATCGTCTGCGAGAAAAGGAAAATTCTGTCCACTGGATAATAATGAGATTTTATTTGCAACAGAAAAAGACAGTACACCATCTGAGTCATTTTTTTATTCAAACTATTTTTCGACTGAACCTTTTATTACACACCGCTGGAGCAGGTGTGACCTGAACCTGGGCTAGTAGTGGGTCACTACCACTGTATCACAAGAGGGTCCCTAACATTTTAATTTATATAAAGTGATTGCAGATAATTGAAGAAGGGTCACTGGACCCGAAATGTTGACTCCGCTTTCTCTCCACAGATGCTGCCATACCTGCTGAGCTTTTTCAGTAATTTTTGATTTTGTTTCTGATATTCAGCATCTGTAGTTCTTCAATTTTTGTTGTGCAGATAATCTGCCTACCCTGTTCTATCTTTAAACATACCTGCAACTGGTTAAATAGTATCTGTTTCAATGGTCTTCACTGTAACTTGTTCCAGTCGAATTTGCCATTACAGTAGCTGCTACATGAAATCTGTTCTGGTCTGCAGCAGTGGAACACCATCTTTATAATAAGTGAAACTGAGAATAATGTAGTTTTCATCGGGATATCCTTTTTCTCTGGGAGCTGAGTAGAGCTGATGTAATTTTGCTGTCGTGTTTCCTGAAGTTGATAGTTCTGAGACAACTGGAAATTTGATGAGCAGTTGCATTACAATGGAGAGATTGTAACCCTTTTCAGTGGCTGGTCATGTTCATCTTGCATTCTGGTTCTGTACCAGTTAAGGAGAGAGGTGACCGGGCAGGGGAATGGTAAACTTATTGTTCGAACAGTAGCTATGATTATTCAGTTATTATTAAGTATTTTTGCTTCAAATGTGTTTGATTTCATCAAGTTACTTGACTGCAATCGACCTGGGCCTATTTTAGGAGTTACTTTTCAAGCACAAGTCTGATGGGATGAGACCAATGAAAGGCGATTTGTTTATTTCTCTTGCCACTCTCCTGAACATCGGTCTTTTCGTTCTTTATAATGCTTTTATCGCTTTTGTAGAATCGAAGAAACTTGCAGCTCAAAGGAGGCTGTTTAATCTGCCATGCCTATTCTAGATTATTGAAAGAGTTGCTGCACTGAGTTGCTGCTTTTTGACCATAACTCTGGGCCCTTATCCTTGAGTGCCTATCTTACTCCTTTTTTTAGAATTATTTGTGGAATCACCTTCATTCACCTTTACAATTGCCTCCTGTACCTTCCTTTATCTTCCTGACTGTTGACCGAACCTTCTTCCTGATGTTTGTCAGAAGTGCCCTTTTTTTTTGTTTCATTTAAACTTTTATTTGCCTTGTTAACCAGGTGCATTTGCTTCGGGCACACACCCTTAGGCAAGTTTCTTTCTAGAATGTTCTCCATTGTTCCCTAGAAGGTTCACTCGATTAATTCCAGAGATGAAAGCCTGGCCTTGTGAGGATTGATTGAGCAGTTTAGGCCTGTACTCACTGGAGTTTAGAAAGATGAGAGGAGTTCAAATGGAGGTATATAGGATACTAAAGAGGATTGGCTAAGTAGACGTAGAGCAGATGTTTCCCTTGTGGTGCAATCTAGAATGAGAACCGTTTTTTTTTAGAACATAAATGAGGAGGAATTATTTCTGTCAGAATGTCAAGAATCTGTGGGATTCGCTAACCCCGAATGTGGTGGTTACTGAGATACTGGATGACTTTAAAGAGGAGATAGACAAATTTTTAGCTAGTAACAGGTTAAAAGGTTATAGGAAGCAGGCAGGAAAGTGGAGTTAGGCCAAATGGACTGAATTACCTACTGCTGCTCCTAGTTCTTAGGTTCAATAACTGCTTTACTTTGCAATCATGTTTTCTGATCAACCTATGTGAGGTCCCTTCTAAAATCCTGATGTCAGCTTTTCCGCATTTGGACGTTTACTTTTGATATTTTTATCTGTAATTGACTTGTTGCCTCGGTGATGTCCATTCATCCTACCATGTCTGTGCTGGTCGAGAAAAATCTGAATGCACTGATCCTAATTTTCAGCTCTTGGCCCATACCCCCTGGAGGTTATGACAATACAAGTGAATCTCTAAATATTGCGTAAATATTTCAAGAATTTCTGACTCGACACCAGCCCCTGCCACTTTTCAAATGGCATGTCTCCAGACTTCCACTATCTTCTGAGTGAAAAAAAGATTCTCCTCAACACTCCCCTTAGCCCTCTACTTCTTACCTTAAATCTATGACCCCATGGTTATTGACTCCTCCACTAATGGAAAATGTGCTTTCCTATCCACCCTCTCTGTGTCCCTCATAATCTTGAACATCTTCATCAAGACCCCTCTTAACCTTCACTGCTCTAAGAAAAACAAACTCTGCCTAATCAATGTTTCCTCATATCTCGGACCCTCCATTCCAGTAAATCTCCTGTCCCCCCGACAACGATCCCAACTACAATCGCATCTATCCTATAACATGACTGAAAGGGGAGATGATAGCCTATTGGTATTATCACTGGATTGTTAATCCAGAGACCCAGGTAATACTCTGGAGACCTGGGTTCGAATCCCACCATGGCAGAAGTAAGTGTCTAATGATGACCATAAAACCATTGTCGATTGTCGGAAAAACCCATCTGGTTCACGAATGTCCTTTAGGGAAGGGAACTGCTATCCTTACCAATCTGGCTTACATGTGACTCCAGACGCACAGCAACATGTGACTGATTCTTAACTGCCCTCTGGGATGGGCAATAAATGCTGGCCAGTGACACCCTCTGTGACTGAATAAAAAAGAAAAAAAAGCCTTCTGAAAAAAGGAAGTTCTCTGAAGTGCTGATACTTTCAGTCACTGCCCTTGAGTATACAGGCCACTTGAAACTCACTGATACCAGTTGTCACTTTCAAGGCTTGGAAACTCTTGTACATCTAACCGAGATGAGTAAAATATTGCAGAAGAACTGAAGATGTCTCTCCATTGTATCCTGAAGAAAGTTCTAAATTGAATTCTGAATTTGTTCTAAATATGCAGCAACTTTGATTTTTATTGTTTTGCCTGTGCTGTTGTATTTTATTAGGGTTCACTCTTGGATCAGTTGTCAAGGACCGGGATGAACTTCAGAACTTCTTGACGCACAACTTGACAATGTCCAATGAAACAGCTGGACTCTTGCTGGGATCAAATGTTAACTTGAAGGAGGTAAGGGAAATAAAAATGACATGCCCACTTGACCACATTAGTTCCAACAACCAGTGCCTGTTTGGGAGTATTGGGATGATGCAGATGTAAGGACAAGAACATGTTGTGTACATAGAGTATACACCTGTAGGAAACAAATTAGGAGTGTCCAGGTTTCAATCACGGCACTGGCCTTCTAGTAGATTTGATTTATTATTGTCACATGTACTGAGGTACAGTGCGAAGCATTGTTTTCCATGCTATTCGGACCAATCATACTTCCTGGGTCTTCCTGTGTGTATTTGAACTGACCCATTTACTAGTAAGGCTGAGCAATTTGTTTTGACTCAGACAAAAAACTCCTCCATTGTTTTATATGTGGGTACTCTTGTAGTAAAGGATTGTTTTAAGAGAATGTAGAAAATCTCACACAAACCTGTTAGAGGCATGGATTAATTTTACTTGGGTTATGGTATTGGTCTGTGTGAAATTATTCATTCACTACATTAGAGGACCTAGAGTTGGAAAGCATTTTTGCAATTAAGGCCTGAGTCACAGCTACCATGTGTGCCTTACCATGTGTGCCTCACCATGTGCTCTGTGAATGGTAGATCAGTATAGCTTGTCTTGCCCCCTTTCAGCAGGCCAACAGCCAAGGTTTTGTATTAAGAAAGACTTTCCTGTTAACTATTACCATATTTCTTTATTTTTCTACTTATTCTATGAAGGCAATGCTTAACTTTTTAACTCTGTTTCTTTTACTACTTTGTACCTGAGGTTTTTTTTATACCTCTGTACGTTTATACCTAAGATGGTGCCTTTTGTGGTGACATTATACACCTATTTTAACTGTACGCTTATACTTGAGTACATGTGACAATAAAATCTAAGTCTAAAGTTAAAAAGAGTTAAAGCTAAAACCTAAAATTAGTTTGAATCAACTAAGACAACAGATTTTAGGAGGGAAAGAAGATTCCAGGCTTCTGGTTCTGTAAGCATGGCACTCTGGGTGTCCATTTATGTTACAGTTGATTACTGGTTGTTTTAAGATCGCTCCCGCTCCCTCTCCCTCTCTTTATGTTCCTCACTCTGTCTCTTTACTTAGAGAGGAGCTTTCTTCTGAGATGGTGTCTCTCTTTTTTTGTCTAGTTAGCTGGCCTTTTAAAATCATTCTTAGCTGACAAACTAAAATGGCCACTGCTACTGAGTGACCAAAGCAGAAAAAAAAGCCCTGTTCTGTGTGAGTCATCAGCTTTTTGGAGAGAGTTCCTCTGCTACCTGTTGTTCCTAGCTTTCATTCCACTCCATGCAAAATATACAGTCCCATAATGAGTCAGCCAGGAACTTTGTTAGCTCCTAAGAGTGTCTATGCTTCTGGCTGTGTCTCTCTGTAATCCATGTAGAGTTGGCAGTGTTATATAGTTAGTGACTTGCAACAGAGTAGTGTGCTTACAGAAGTCTCTAATGCCGTAATTCTTTTGTTCATGCCGCTTGTTAATTAATTGCAATAAAACCACTGCTGATTGGAATTTAGAAAGTAATAAATAAAGTGTCAGAGTATCAAGATGATGGTCTTTTACTATTTGTACAGAAGGTTGCAAGGTAATTATTTCTTGGCATGCTTATGCTCCCAATTTTGACGTTTCAATGTTTCTTTTGGAGAGAAATGTTGGTAACTGCTGCACGATACATATTTGGCTGCTCTTAGACAGAGGTGTTGGAGCAAACTTACAAATGTTGCCCTTAAGATGAAATTAAATATTCTGAACCTCATTTGTAATGTAGATTTGTAATTATTGCTGATTTTTCTGTTTTGCAGTCCTCCTGCAGTGATAGAGTCAATCTGTTCACTTTCAACTCCGGTATTTCTTGCCCATTATGATATTGTCTGTCACTGTATACCATAATTTCAATTGGTTTTGCAGTCCTGAATGAATTCCAGTGGCCCCCTGTTTTATTTAAGCCAGTAGGGATAGATCTTGACTGTGTGATAATGTGGCATGGGCAACAATTTATATATACCACAAAAAGTAAGGGGCATGCTACTGAGCTCTGTAGAACCTCACTGGAAGCAGTCAAAACCATTGACTTTTACCTTTTGCCTCTGAGCACTGAGCCACTTTTGGATCCAACTTGCCACTTACCTTTGTTACTTTTCTGACCAGCTTTCAATGTGGGACCTTGTTCAAAGCCTTGCTAAAATGCATTTGAGTTGTACCAAACACATTGCCCTCATTGCAGTTTCTGGTTAACTCCTTTCAATAAAGAATGCCAGACATGACCTTCTCTGAATAATTCCATGCACACTCTCCTTGATTAATCCATGTCTTTTTTTAATGAAGATGTATACAGTCCCTCAGAATTTTTCCAATACTTTACTATCACTGAGGTTAGGCTGACTTGCCTGCAATTACTCAATCTGTAACTTTTCTCCATTTAAATAGTTGAATTGACTTTAATTTAGCTTGATTTACTTGAGTTTGGGATTTTAGTGTCACCTTATTCGATTTGTAGAGCATAACACTGATGGTTCTTTAAATACAAGAGCCTGATCTGAGATCAGTGATTAACCACATATCAGAAAAAGTTTCTTGTAGGTTTTATCAGGTGAAACATGCAAAAATGTTGTTTTTAACTTTTTGACTATTCATGAGTTGTAGGGTCATACGGCATCAAGTCTGCACCGATCTATCTACACTAATTCCATTTTCGAGCATTTGGCCCATAGCCTTGAATGAGATGACATTTCCAGTGCTGATCCAGATTCCTATCACCCTAGGGTGAAAAAAATGTTTTCCCTCATACCTGTTCTAAACCTGCTGCCCTTCATCTTAAAATTACGCCCCCTTGTGATTGACCCTTCAACGAAGGGTAAACAGGTACTTTTTGTTCACCCTGTCCCTTCCCCGTATAACCTTATACACCCCAATCAGGTTCACCCTCAACTTTCTCTGCTGTAAAGAAAATAACCACAGCCTGTCCAGCCTCTCTTCAGAGCTGAAATGTTCCATCCCAGGTAACATCCAGGTGAGTCTCCTCTACACCCCTTCCAGTGCAATCACATCCTTTCTATAGCCTGACAGCCAGAGCAACTTGATTTGCATTTATGTATAAACCATGGGGCCTCTATTTGCCACTTACAGGACTTTTGGTATTCCTCTCTTGTTGTCATTTCCCATTCAGTTTTACTGCAAATCTCACTATGCAGTTGCAGGTTCATACAAGGAACTTTTCCAATCAAGTGTTGGAATCTCTTTCTCAACTCCATCAGCATCGTGCACCTAATATGGATTTAAAATGGGCAGTGGCAGCAACATCCTGTTAAATATTGTGCCAGTAAATTTAACGTTTTGCCAACTTTGTGACTATTATCAAAGCACTTTGTGTCAGAACTCTTAACATTTACCACAGTACCTTTCACAAAGCTGTGTAAAGGCAAGTCCATTACCTCCACATTACAGTGTACTGTGGATTCATGTATCTATGGTCCCTTTTTGCTCCTGCCTGACGTTCCTACCTTGCATTGCCTGTATTCCTGAACTTGTCTGAAACTCTGCCGACATCCTAACACTTGTCAAATTCCATTCCTATTGCTCTTGTACTTCCTGAAATACATTGGCACCTGGTTTCAGCAATGCTTAAATTTTGAAATTCCCATCCTTGTGTTAGAAATATTAATATTATGTTAACCTTTATGGCAAAAGGATCTAAATACTGGAGTAGTTTTTTTTAGTTATTCATTTTGTGGGATGTGGACATCGCTGGCTGGTCAGCATTTATTGCCTGTCCCTAATTGCCCTTGAGAAGCTGGTGATGAACTGCCTTCTTGAGCTGCTGCAGTCCATCTGCTGTGGGTTCACCCACAATGTCCTTAGGGAGGGAATTCCAGGATTTTGACCCAGTGACAGTGAAGGAACTGCAATATGTTTCCACGTCAGGATGGTGAGTGGCTTGGAGAGGAACTTGAAACCGGTGGTGTACCCATATATGTGCTGCCCCTGTTCTTCGAGACGGAAGTGGTTGTGGTGCTGTCTGAGGATCTTTGGTGAATTTCTGCAGGGCATCTTGGAGATAGTAGACACTGCTGCTACTGAGCGTCGGTGTTGGAAGGAGTGGTTGCTTGTAGGTGTAATACCAATCAAGCGGGCTGCTTTGTCCTGGATGGTGTCAAGCTTCTTGTGTTTTGGGGCTCCACTCATCCAAGCAAGTGGGGAGTATTCCATCACATCCCTGACTTGTGTCTTGAAGATGGCGGACAGGCTTTGAGGAGTCAGGAGGTGAGGTACTCGCTGTAGTATTCCTAGCCTCTGACCTGCTCCTGTAGTCACTGTGTTTATGTGATGAGCCACATAAACACAGTGGCTATAGGAGTTTCTGATCAATGATAATTCCCAGGATGTTAATGGTGGGGAATTCAGTGGTGGTAACATCGTTGAATGTCAGGTGGTTAGATTGTCTCTTATTCATGATGGTCATAGCCTGGCATTTGTATGGCACGAATGTTACTTGCCATTTGTCAGCCCAAGCATTCAGATATGCCTGTTTCAGCATCTGAGGAATTGCAGATGGTGCTGAACATTGGCGAACATCCCCACTTCTGACCTTATGATGGAGGGAAGGTCATTGATGGAGCAGCTGAAGATGGTTGGGCCTAGGACACCACCCTGAGGAACTCCTACAGAGATATCCTGGAGTTGAGATGATTGACCTCCAACAACCGTGATCAACTTCCTCTGTCAATCACGGGAGAGTTTACCTCCCCAATACCCATTATTTGCTCGGGCTCCTTGATGCCACACTCGGTCGAATGCAGCCTTGATGTCAAGGGTTGTCACTTTGACCTCACGTCTGGTATTCAGCTCTTTTGTCCATGTTTGAACCAAGGCTGTAATGAAGTCAGGAGCTGTGTGGTCCTGGTGAAACCCAACTGGGCATCACTGAGCAGGTTATTGCTGAGCAGGTGCTGCTTGATGGCACTGTTGATGACATTTTCCATCACTTTACTGATGATTGAAAGTAGA